ATAGCAGCGGCACAAAGTACGTAACGAGAACTGAAAATCAGTACACATTTGCCAAGACATTTCGCACTAGCAAACTGTTCGAATTCGATATTGGTTCGTGCCAGGGCAGTGTACCAGAATACAGAACAACCTAATTCTATGTTCTGTGATATTGACGGTGCGTAATTTTTTTTTTTTTTAATAAGTAATTTAAGTTAAAGCACTTTTCTAAACTATGTGTATTTTAGTATTAACCGATGTTTAGGCAGTTATCAGAAGAAGGGTGGGTCCTCTTTCTTTCTGTTCCGTGAATTCCCTTCCAATTTTACTGAGTTTCAAAAACGCCGTATCATTTTAAGTTTTAAATAAAGTACCTTCTTTGTGATTACAAGATATAACGAAAGGACTTCTTTAAAGGATTATTATTTTCATCACCAGAAGAGTAGAAGAGGACGTTGCCGAGGTCAGCATCGAGGGCGTGGCAACAATGTTCTCAAAATTACTTTAATATTAATAAGTTTAAGAGAGGTAGTGCATAGCGGATATCCCACTCACATTATAGCGCCCGTTTGGGGAAGTAACCTCCACCTTATTCAAATTCAAATTCTTTATTTGCCAATAAATAGGGTGGGTACATTGAAATGTTCATGTTAACAAAGATATAAAGGTAGCTTTAAGCCTATTTAGCCATATGATATAGCATGCAAAAGGAATATTTCCATTTATCTTTGTAAGAAAAACAATAACAAAATAAAAATACAATTTTTTTAATAATCCGTAATAAGATAGAATAAAAAAAACAAATTGTTTACATTAATATTCAATAGGATAATAATCAAAACTAACAGCAATACCAATACATGCATCAATTCATATAGTAAGAATAATATTATGAAAGTCATTTATAATTTATATATTCGTCAATTGAATAGAAAGCTTTTTCCAGTAACCATTTCATTGTGAAACATGTCAAATGGGAGTTTTTTTATGTCATGTGGTATTTTATTGTTTATTATATTACACATTATGTAACTATTTTTACTTACAAAACATCACAGTAAAATAACATTACCATTGGTGGAGTTGTGTTTCTGTCAGTAGGTAAGGTTCCAGGGCTCGCCGGGGTAGAAGATTTGGTCAGGGCAGGCAACGACGTGAGTGCTATTTAGTGCATTGAAATGAAGGGACTTTTTTTTAACACTCACACCAATTAGCCTCCTGTAAGGCTTGTGTTACTATACAGTACATATATAAGTATATTTGTATAGAAATACATATTAAACATCCATGACTGGAGTACAAATGCTCGTATTCATCACACAAACATCTGCCCCCACCGGGTTTCGAACCCGGGACCTCTCGGGTTGGCGACACCATGAAACCCGGCGTACAAACCACTCGGCCACGGAGGTCGTCAAATTAAAAACAACAAATTCTTTTTGATATAAGTAATTTTAATTTTCTAAGCATGCAACTGCTCGATGTTTAGATCTAAAGAAAATATTACTAGAAAACATTCCACGCGGAACTTGCAGCAGACGGGACTCTGTCACGCACCCCAATTTGCACAATGCGAAGAGATGGCAGATTGCAACTCAAGAAAGGCTAGAAAGAATTCGACACGGCCATCCGGGCCGCGGTAGAATAATGGTCAGTGCATTCGCCCGGATAACGAAGGGTGCGGAAATTTTCTTTTAATTATTTTTGATTGGTCTTACATATTTATTCTTTCGGGTGTTTTTCTTTGCGTGGCACGTCGTACGTGCATAAAGTACTTATGGTACAAAATAATATACTGAATGCTTAAAGCTTGTTAATATACAAGGACAACTACCGTAACTAGAATTACGCGTACATTGGGAACTAGGCAGGTAGGCTAATGACATAGTAGCGGTAACCTAAGCGGTCAACTATTGCAAAATGGCATCTGATTAGGGAACCGGTCCGATGCACCCGTAGATCGTAACCCTAAAATACTATGGATGTGACGGCTAAACCACATTTCCGAATAGTTCCAATTCGATCTCGTAATAGAAACCTAGCGGGCTTAAGCTTTTTCTATTGCCTATGCATCGATGCTTCTCAGGACAAGTATCTTGTCCTTTTAATAAAGCAATTCAATTCTTTATTCCATATCCAAAATGAAGCAGTTGTCGATCAATAAATAGCTCGTTGATTATCACTTCCATGTGTCAAAAACCGTTAGCGAATAGTCCTACTGTATCCTTAGCACGATCCATTATCGAATTCGATTAGATGAATTCGATCTATCGCCGCCGCCGTCCCGTTCGCGCTGCCGTGGGATCAGTGTTTGTTTGATGCAAGTATGAGCGTACCGTATCTACCCTTTTTGTTTTAATCTAAGATTTTATACGTCAAATGTGTACTGATTTTTTGTTCCCGTTACGTCCGTTGTGGCTCTGCTGTTCAAGTTTCCATAATAAAATTGACATTGACATTTCGCACTCGCAAACTATTCGAATTCGATTATGGTTCGTGCTAGGGGAACTGTACCCTTAGCTGCCTTAGCACAAACAAATATCGAATTCGAATAGTTTGCGAGTGCGAAATGTCATTGTCAAATGTGTACTGATTTTTAGTTCTCGTTCAAGTTTCCATACAAAATTTGACATTGACATTTTCGCACTTGCAAACTATTCGAATTCGATATTGGTTCGTACTAGGAGTACTGTAGTGCACTCAGTGGTAAATCGTTTGACTAAAAACTACAATTTATATTATCCCCGTTTTTTTAAATAATAATCATAATTTGTTTCTTAGGTTTTCACGCCAATAAATAAATAAAGTTTCGTGCATTAACCCGTAAAAACTAGTTTTATTTAATAATCATTATTTTAAATTAATTTTGTTTTTATTGACCAATGGCAAGTTTATTTATCTACAGTTTGTTGCTATAGCGTCAAATATATTCTGTTCAATAGCAAACTAAAGCAATGATAATGATTCTGTTTATCTCTCATAACATTATTTGGTATTTTGTGGATGTATAATTACAAGAAGAATCAATCATATATTGATATAATAATTTTACCATGATTTCATGTATGACTGAACTGATTGGCATTTAACGTGGAATTCATCTTACATTGAAATCGAAAAGAAAGATGACTAATGTAATGAGTAAAATTGCTATTTCTATTTGGCAAAAAGTAAAAAATTGAAAATAAAAAAATGTCCCAGCTTTTTGGATTTTTAAATAAAAAATATGAGGTGACATCATCTAAATCGATGGCTAAATAAAAATAGAAATTTCACCTATACCTATACAATATTTTTTCACTTTATAATGCAACAAATCTCTGACATATTTCATCACTGACGAGCTTGATTTTTTTTGATGAAATTTGGTGCAAATATAGTTTATCACCTGGATTCAGAGATAGAATACTTTTTATCCCGGTAAATTTCAGGTTCCTGAGGGCGACGAGTCGCGGGCGGCCGCTAGCGCATAATAATATTACGACAATAAAAGTTCTGCGTTACAAGGTAGACCCGTTTGTAGAATGTAGAAAACGTAATTAAACAAAGTTAAACTTTTTAAATCTCGGAGATAACACGAAATACCACAGATAAGAAGGTCTAATGCCTGTGCTAATACTTCCTTGTTTGGTTTACAGAAATAATTCTAACCGAAAACGCTCTTAGGGCATCGCAGTATTTCCCTCAAATTAGATTTTACAGTCACGAGTTTTATTCAAACTCGTGAAATTTAAAAAAAACCATATGATGTATTTTATGATAACCATCGAAAGGGTTAATCATTAGGATTATTTTTCCTAAATAACATAGCATTTTAAATGAAAGGAAGACCATGAAATTATTATTTTGTTCTGGAAAACTTTCTCTTACTTTTCCGTGAATCCAACAGCTAATATTATCATTTCAAAGTATTTAACCTGCTCACTAACTCACTGTAAGGACTTCCTTACTGTAAGTACGTGAAAAAAAAGCGATACTTATAGAAACCTAGCACCGTTTCATTTTTATTGTAGTATTGTCTTCAATTATATAAAAAAGTCAAGTTTCGTGATTGTTCTTTAATTTAAAATGCTATGTTGTTTAGGCTAATGCTAAATAATCCTCATGAATTACCCTTTTGACGGATATCGTAAAATATATATACGTTTTTGTGTTTCACATTTCAGCGGTTTCCAAAAAACTGTGAATGCAGTTCTACTTATTATTAAAAATCTTCAATACTCGATATACTTTCCCTCCGTGTGACAAATAGGACGCCGTGTATATATAAAGCAAAGTCGTGTTAGAAAATTTTTAACTCAGGAACGGCTGGACAGATTTTTATGAGATTACATTTTTTTGGATTCGTGTCTGCCCCGAATAGCAAAATAACTATTAAAATATAGGACAATCTTGAAAAAAAAGTTGTGACGAAAATCAATTATCAATAAATAATAAGGTTTGGTATTTACAGCTCACGTCACGCATGAACAAATCATATTTGTAAACTATTGAACTTTTTTGTTTTTGTAAACTATTGGTCCCGGCATCTGCATACGTTAACACCCGCCAATCCGCACTCGGCCCGCGTATTCCAACCATAGGGAAGGCCTGTACCCCAGCAGTGCGGACATTAATAGGCTGATGATGATAATAATTCAACTTTTTTGTATTGGTTATATTCCGGTTGTAAAATCATGAATTTAATTGAGCTTAGTTAATTATAAGATAACCAAAATCATCGACTATTAAGAGGGCACTAAGTACGCCGGATCTGCTACTTAGTAATAATAAAAAAGTTTTGTCTTAATTTATTTATAAGCTGTGTTATTATGGCAATTTTTAATAATTTAAAGGTTATTAAAATTATCGTTACTTTGCGATCACCATAATTAAAAGAGGCAAAACTACTTTCTTTAAGCATCATTATCATGACATTCGCTTGGACAGCAGCAGACAGCATTCCTTTATACAAACTGTTGGATAAAAAACTGAATTAAAACCTTATAGTCATTCCTTTGTTTGTGCAGAAAATGTAAATAGTAAATGTGATAAATATCAAGTGAGCGCATTATTAAATTGAACCGCGCGCAGCGCACACGTTGCGGCTGGCGCCGAATCGTATGCGCATCCTAAACGCGGCGCGCGTAAATTAATATTAACACGCGAGTGACAAAATAAAAAAGTGTAAAATAAAAAAAATAAAAGTATTCAAAATGCAGACGTTCATTCTGACGGCCACGGTTTTAATATTATGTTAGTTGAACGTTTTTTTGGTACAAAATGTTATTTTGATTTTTTGACGTGACAACGTCTTAAATTAGGTTGCGGCTGGGAGTCACTTATGAAAAAGTGTAACGCTCGGTAACGTTACGATGAGTCTCTCGTGTTAAGTTTAAGTTTACATGTACAATGTTTTAGTAAACAAAATATATTTCTATAGTTAAAATTTGTGCAATTCTTATTTTCATTCAATTCCTTGTTCCTATTGTGCAATTTAATTATATTCATATCAATAAATATTCTACCGAGAAAAAGACGTTGTCACGTAAAATCTTCGCCCGTAAAACCGACTTTACAGGCAACCATTTTTTTATTTTTTTTTCAAAATGAAATAACATATTTCTTTTATAAAAAAATACAAACATAAACCTAGAGAACCATAAAATAGTTTATTTTTTTGGTATTTATACGTTAAGTAGTTTTTTAATCTAGTTAACGAAAGAATATTTCATAATTTTACAGTTGCGTTAAAATGGAGCGATGCAGCTTATTTGCGATGTTATAAAGGGTAAGTTCTGTTATTAATGTCAAAAACTTTAGTATCTTTATATGTTTCAATTATTTTCTCAGCTGGACATTTATCTTCTTGTTCACTACGGGCGTTACCGCAGTTCATTTATCTAATCTTATATATAAAATTCTCGTGTCACAATGATAGTTACCATACTCCTCCGAAACGTCCTGACCGATTTTTATGAAATTTTATATGCATATTCCGTGGGTCTGAGAATCGGCTATTTTTCATATCCTTAAGTGATAATGGTTGTCCACCTGTAACGTAGTGTTCTGAAACCTACAATGCGCCTTCGCGCCAAAATTCAAACTATTGGGTATTGTAACATAGTGTTCTAATATGGGTTAGGAGGAATGATATCCCAGGAAATTGACTACGTTACACAACCCTAAAATTTTTTTTGGACAATATTTATTTTTTTATAATGTGGTATTAAAGAATACATACAACCCTGAATTTTCTCTTCTACCACCTGCCCCTATTTTTATGGCGATACGAAGTGCGCTGGGTCAGCTAGTGTAAGTATAAAATTCTCGTGTCACGGTGTACGTAATTGAACTACTCCGAGGCGCTCGACTGATTTTCGTGTAATTTTATATGCATATTCAGTAGGTCTGAGAATCGGACAACATGTATTTTTAAGCCCCCTAGATGTTAAGGGGGATGAAAAATACATGTTGTCCGATTCTCAGAATTTCAATTAAATTTTATTTTATTTTTTATTTATTTGGACAATTTTTTTATTTTTATTTTTTTATGATACATCGTACAAAAATACATACAACCCTAAATTTTCACCCCTCTACCACCAACCCTTATTTTTACGGCGGTACGAAGTTCGCTGGGTCAGCTAGTTTAATTATAATATTTGGCGGCTATTTTAAAAAGTTTTTTATTCTCATTGCTAGTAGTAGAATGTAGTGAATGTGAGAAAATGTAAAGTAAAACGTATTCGTTTTTTTCCTTTTTTTTCTCGCCCCGTCACGAGCGTCACACGCGCCAATATAAAAACATATAACAGGCCACTCAGAAAATTTTGAGAATAAAAGTTTTTATGTGTTAGATACTGGCCACTTGTAATAATTTTGAAAACTTCGATTCTTTAAAAGTAAAAATACCACTGTTCGATTTTCAATTTTCCATCCGCATTTTCTCGAGAGCAAATATTTTTTTTCTTGTCTCATTAAAAAATGGATTTGCAACGAGAACACTTTCTTGCTATGATTTTTTACAATTTTAAATGTGGCTTAAACCTGATCGATTTCGAACTGCTTTTATTGATGAAGGACCTTCAAAAGCAACCATCTACCGCTGGAGTAGCGAGTTCAAACGCGGTCGTCTCACTTTGGGAGTTGAACAAAGGAGTGGTCGTCCTACGACGGCTGTCACCGAAGAACGTGTAAAGGGCAGTAAAAAAATTAATCCAAGAAAACAGATAAATTACGTACGAAGAGATTCAGCATACTCGTACTCTGCAGATTGGTTCAGGAAATGTTCACAAGATTTTGCACGAACACCTTTACGTAAGGAGGATCGTTTCCCGCTGGGTGCCGCACAACCTCACCGAAGCTCAGAAGCAGGCCCGTGGGATTGGTGCAGTGATATGATACAAAAATTTGATGCAGGCTCGTCACGACGCGTTTACGATATTGTGACAGATGACGAATCCTGGATTTATCAATACGATCTAGAAACAAACCGTCAGTCGACAGTTTGGCTGTTTCAAAATGAACCAACGCCTACGAAGGTGGAGCGATCGAGGTGCACAGGGAAAATTTTGATTTCTGCTTTCTTCACTTTGACGGGGTACCTAATTTTCATTCCATTTCGAGAGAATGGAAGATGAGTCGTGTAAAGCTCGTGACGCATTTCCGTTTCATCTTTTCTATAGGATTTTTTCATTAACACCCCGTCCAAAAAGAAGTTTCATTTAAAAAAGTGGCGTTGCTAATCCTTTTTAGCTCCGTAGACACAATACTGGAGAACAAAGCAAACATTATCCAACATCTAAATGTACCACTCCGTGTTAAGTCAATAAATATTCATTTCATTTCAAGATAGCGATTACTTTCTCTATGCACACGTGTCTTTTCGGAATATAAAAAAAAATATTTAATATATTTTATTATCACAAAAATAAATGATAATTAAACGCTCTTCTAAAATGATTGGTCAATGCACCATTTTATTGTTGTACATGATTTTGAAAGAATTCTTACAAGAAACAAGGCAATGGAACTTTCCAAGTCTACATTGCATTACAAAAAGAAATCGCAAGCGTATAACTAGTCCTACCGCAATAATATTTTAAGTACTCGTTTTATCTCCCAAATAAGTAAGTAAATAAATAAACTTAATAAACAACATCAATGTAAGTTTTTTTTGCTTTCCATCGCAGCATTGAGTTGTACAGTCCAAGTGATTTAATTTTGGATCCACCTAAAGTAAAATGTCGTATGGTAGTAAACAAAAAATACATACAAAAAACAAAAACAACAAATATATAATGTTGCTGGAACGACGACGCGACGGTTTAATGTACGCGCCAAACAAGGATCGATGAACTTACATCATTTCAATCTCATTTCAGAACCCCTAGCACGAACCATTATCGAATTCGAATAGTTTGCAAACCGAAATGTCAATTTGAAATTTTGTCTGGAAACTCGAACAGCAGCGGCACAAAGTACGTAACGAGAACTAAAAATCAGTACACATTCGGACTCGCCAACGATACGAATTCGATATTGGTTCGTGCTAGGGATACTGATCAATATAGTGACCGATGTTTTATCAATCATGTGACTTTAATTACAATTACGATCTGAAAAAACAAGGCAAGGGATGCCTTGTTTTTTATTCACTCACCCACCACGCATTGGTATGCTGCTGGTATTTTGATTCATGAACTATTCATGTATTTTGTGGCGGGTATTGTTAATTGTTTACCGATGAGTCACCGGTTACGCGCGTAACGCAAAAATCGTCACACATTCGCCAGTTTACCCCCCAAGTCAAGCGTGCCTAAAGAAGATTCAGTCTTCAAAAATGTTGTAAAAATATTCCATTTGTGAGTTTTCATTGCGTCCGCTAGGTAAACGGTTCAAGTTACACAAAAATCATGTGTCATACATGATTTTTGTGCAACTTGAACCTTTAAAAGTTCTAAAAAAAAAGTCCGCGACAGCATATGTCTATCTTTTAAGTTAGACTCACTAGAACCCTTTTCCTCAAATTAACGCGGGTGAAACCGCAGGGGATCTCTAGTTGTGACATAACTGTAATAGTTAGGCATATTTCATGGTATTGCAAACTTTTTTGTAGATATTGATGTCCTCTATGAAACCTTAGTACATTACTTTGTTCTATTGTCAATGACTTCCGCAGCGTTGCAGCGTACCTACGCGATATAAGGTTATTTTTTGGTATTTTTTTCTTTTCACACATTGGGTTACATTATCGAAGTTTCATACAGAACCCTAACTTTTTTAAAAATACCCAATAGCCTATATTATATATAATGTGAAGAAAGTTATCAAATCCAGAGGTTGCGGAGCCTAACAATACAAACAAATCATTCCTCTATTTAATTTAAGTATTGACTAGCTAGCTAGGTTCGTCCGCGTTAGCTTAAGTTTTTTAAATCTCTCAGGAACCTAACACTTTTCCGGTATTAAAAGTATTCTTTGTCTCTCTCCAGGTTAAATATCTGTGTGCAAGTGCCATCCAAATCCATTCAGCCGTTTTTGCGTGATAAAGCAACAAACTTAAAAACTTTCACATTTATAATATTAGTGGGATCGAATATGTCGCAAATATAACATTATTCGCAACAAAAACAATACATTGACAATAAATGTACACTTGCGGTTAAACTAAGTACTAAAGAACATACTTGCATAAGAAGTAATTACTAGAATTTTTGTTGTGTATAAACACCGCGTATTTTTGAAGACTCGCCGATTACATTCAAATCTACATAATTTTCGCTATATTTTAGACTGCAAGTTACTTGAATTTTAGTTCTTATATCGTTGATAAAACTTTCACTGCAGTAAAGCTTAAAAAAATGGGTGCGTGTACTTATGTAGGCGCGTGAGAAGTTATCCTTCTTTGGCATCGTTTAAAATTAGTTTTTAATTGCATGCAAATAATTAATTACAATAAATTAATAAAAAGTCTGGAAAAGGACACAGTCAATAAAGTTCAGTTTTAATTTGAAAAAATAAATGAATAATCAAAATATTCAATTAAAATCGCTACTGAATATAATTTATTAGAACATATGTGATTTGCACTTGTATGAAACTCAAACACGTATTCCGAATATCAAAAAAAGAAACATGTGGATAAATATATAAATATGACTACCTATAACTGTTACTTTATTACAAAAAATAAAGATGTGGTTTTTGGTTCTACTAGACCAATGGTTAAGAGATGGCGCTGTAGTCTCCTGAATCGCGCTTTGGTTCCGTTGTTCCAGATTAATAAATACTTTTTATATTATAAATATGAATACCTATAACTGTTACTTTATTACAAAAAATAAAGATGTGGTTTTTGGTTCTACTACACCAATGGTCAAGAGATGGCGCTGTAGTCTCCTGAATCGCGCTTTGGTTCCGTTTTTCCAGATTAATAAATACTTTTGATAGGCCTTCACAATGCAGTCGTTAGCACCCACTAAATAGAGATTCTATTTCTATTTTGTTGGTAGATTTTCTTAATGTGCGGTAAACACAAAAGTAACGCATGAAGTTGGTCGCTAAAGCGACCATCTTCATGCTGTTAAAATTTTGTGTTACAGTGATGCGCGCGCATCTTAAAATTTCACTCTCATCATTTTTTCATAACGCGCCTAAAGAAGTATAACTTCAAAAAAACTTCTTCATAAAAACAAAACCGTTACTTTACCAACCGTGTAATAACAATATGTAAAATAGCACAACCCTATGCCAATTCACATTAAAAGAACCTTTAATCCTCTGCTT